ACAGATTAAGTACTAAATTTGGTGGCGACACTTTTACCCTTCTTGAGTTATGTCCCTTTGTAAAGATAAAAATTGCTGAATTTTTCGTTTCCGTTCTCTAACTTTAGTTTGTCTCAACCAAATGTTATAAAACTTATACACAACCGTTCTAGAGTTATGTGTGTTTACAAATAGAAAAATTGCTGAATTTTTAGTTTCCGTTCTCTGCTTAAGTTAGCCTCAACCAAATGTTATGAGACTTACACACAATGCTTATTACCACAAAACTCAGATCAAGTTCAAAATTTGGGTAGCGTCACTTTTACTGTTCTTCAGTTATGTCTCTTTATAACTACATGATATGCAAGCGGGGGCATCATCTGTGTCCACTATCCACATTTATTTGTTCATATATTTGTCTGTTAATGATATCCTGCTAAATAGTAGTTGATAATGCATAAAGTGTCCTGCTTGTTAGTCATTAATCATGCATTTGTCTGTATGATATCCTACTTGAATGGTTGTTTAAATGTATTTGTCAGTTAATGGTATAATGATTGATAGTGATTGTTTATGCATTAGTATATGTTAATGGTGTCCTGCTTGGCAGATATTGTTAATGTATTTGTCTGTTAATGATATCCTACTTGACAGAAATTGTTATTGCACATTTTTATGTTAATGATATCCTGCTTCATAGTGATTGTTTATGCCTTTGTCTGTTAACCATATCCCTATTGACAGTGATGGTTCAAACACTTGTCTGTCGTAATGGTGTCCTGCTTGACAGTGCTTGTTTATGCATTTGTCTGTTAATGATATCCTGCTTGGCAGTGATTGTTTTGCAGAATATCATTAACATTTGTCTGTTAATGATATCATCCTGCTAGACACTGATTGTTTATGATTTTTTTCTTGGCATTGATTGTTAATGCATGACTGTAAATGATGTCCTGTTAACCAGTGATTGTTAATAAATTTTTGCAGTGATTGTTTAGCAGGATATCATTACCATTTGACTGTTAATGATATCCTGTTGATGATTTCCTACTTGACAGTGATTGTTAATGCATTTACCTGTTAATGATGTCCTGCTAACCAGTGATTGTTCATGCATTTGTCAGTTAAAGATGTCCTGCTAACCAGTTATTGTTTATGCATTTGTCAGTTAATGATAGTCTGAGTGACAGTGATTGTTTATGAATTCATCTATAAATGAACTCTGCTTGACTGTATATTCATTGGTCTGTTAATGTTATCGTACTTGACAGTGATTGTTTATGCATTTTTATGTTAATTAAATCCTGCTTGACAGTGACTGTTTATGTATTTGTCTGTTAATGATATCCTGATTGTCAGTGATTATTTATACTTTTGTCTGTTAATGATATCCTGCTTGTCAGTGATTATTTATACATTTGTCTGTTAATGATATCCTGCTTGACAGTGATTTTTTCTGCATTTCACTGTAATTGAATTCTACTTGATAGTAGTTGTATATACATTTGCCTGTTAATGTTATCCAGCCTGATAGGGAAAGTTTATGCATTTGTTTGCTTGAATAAAGGTAAAAGCTTTTTTTATGACAGCTGTCCATATATTTGTTGAACTAGGACTTAAAATTGTTCATGGTGTCTTACTTTATTTTTAACCATTGAAATCACTTCATATACTTTTTAAACCAGCGTTACAGCTTGTTCATAATGTCTCTTCATATATTTGTTGAACCATTGTAAAAGCTTGTTCATGATATTCATTCACATATTTGTTGAACTAGGGTTACATCTTATTCATGACGTCTCTTCAGAAATTTGTTTAACCAGGAGTTTGATCATGATATCTGTTTATATATTTGTTGAACTGGAGTAACAACATGTTAGTGGAGTCTATTCATATGTTTATGGACAGAGGGTCACAAAATGTTGATGATCAGTGATACTGTTCTTGATTATAATGAGAACATCATTGATTAAGATGTTACTGATTGGTCGACTCTATCATTAAATGGATGCAGAGTCGATGCAATCTTATTTACAGGAATGGAAGTTAAATTTCTTTTCACTGTCTGAGTTTTTACTTTTGTTGTTGGAGTTTGTAGAAGAATTAGGAATAGAGTGTTAACAATCCTCTAACTGGAATGGCATATGGTATAGGTTAAAGGAGGTGTATGGAGTCATCATAATCCTCTCAACTGGAATGGCATATGGTAAAATATGGTAAATGTTAATGTATAGAGTGTTAACAATCCTCATAAACTGGAATGGAATATGATGAAATATGGTATAGGATAATGTAGGTGTTATGTATAGACTGCTTAAAATCCTCTAAACTGGAATGGTATTATATGAGGGTGGTAAAGGAGGGTGCTTGCACGGAAAAAATGTGAAATGTCATGAATGTTGCACGAAAAAAAATAAAGACTTTGATGTGAACCTTTTGTGACTGATTCACTGTCTTTCTGTATATATATAAACATTCTGTTTTACTTGATTTTTCTCATTTAGTATACATATGTATGATATAAATGATTTACAGCTTTTAAAAAAGTATATAACGATCTTAACTTTTAAAATGCAAATATCCCGCAAACATGTTTGAATTTTATTTGAAAAATACAGAGCACGCAGAATATGCATTTGAAAATTTGTGAAAATCACGATGCACATAAAATTAAATAAGCAGAACACGTTGAACTAGGCACCTGTCTTGCACGACTGAACGTCAAATAAAAAAATAAAAAACATATTGAACATGAAATAAAAAACGACGATCATGTTGCACGAAAATAACCCTTTACCACCCTCTAATATGGTATGTATGATAAATGGAGGTGTAGGGTTTAGAGTTTTAGCAATCCTCATAAACTGGAATGGCATATGGTAAAATATGGTATAGATAAACAGAGGAGTAGGGTGCAAATCAATAGGGCATATTCAACAACACCCCAAACAAAACAAAAACAAGATCATGTAAATGGCTTTTATCTACTCATTTTTATTTAGATCTTCATGCTTAAGTATTTGACTTTCCAAACTTTGAAAATTATTGACAGTTGTAAAAGCAGATTTGAGCTAAACAAGGACATACAGGTATCATTAGTTCACCAAATGAGGAAAAATTCACTTAAATTATGGGAAACTTCTACAGTAATTAAATTCCTTTATAGGATGAGTAAATCGTTTTTCACAATGTTACATATGATAACCCATGATAAGAGATATCTGAGTGTATCAGTAAAATGGCTTCTATCCCAGCAAGTACTGAGATGGTAAAATCATTATTCTGGTTAATCAAGCCACTGTGATGTTGATAATATGTCATTTTCTATGATTCCTATAACAATATTTTTCTTGACTCTGACATCTCAACAATAATTAGTTCTGCTAGAATACTTTATAAATAAATTACCTTAGAATTTCAAATCTACTGATTGGGATAATAAGAGGGTCCACAAGGGGATATAAAAGAATTTGATCTAAATTGAGAAGTACATCGAATTTTTATTTCTTTTTCTCCTTTTTTCAATTTTGCTAAGATAATCAAACTACATATTTGCAATTCTGTAAACAATTAACAAGGGAATTATATAATCTTTCATTTATAATGAAATTACTTACAGAATTACTTCCCTTTGAACATCCATAATATTGCAGAAACAGGTTTCATAATCAAAATGGATAAAAAATTTCAACAAACTGTTGAACCTTAACAAAATACCTTAACATAAAATGAAAAGAATTAACAATTCTCCTAAACTAATTTTACTTGATTCTTTAAAAATAAATCAATATTCATTGTATACTAAGTGAATTAATGGTACACAAACCATGATCTGAATCATATTTCTAAGTTATCTCCCTTTCCTGGTCAATAGAGTTGACCTTACCATATCCTACAAGTTAGATATGTCTGTGAAGCAATTAAGAAGAAATATGAGTTATGGATTCTGTCTATACTAAATTATAAAAGTCTGAAAACTTATCTAGTTCTCAGCAGGCTCCTGTCAGAGAGAAAATCCATCACCTGTGTCTGGACATAATTAAGTTAATTAAATTAGTAAAATTATCAGAACTGAGTCTGTCACTTCCTGTTTACATTAATGGCTGCTGATGAAATTAACACTATTACAAAGAGAAATCTACGACCAATGACTGAATGACCCTTCTTTAACTTTCCTTGTCCAGACATTACAAGAAAATCTTAATTGTATATTTCTTCTAGCCTTCAGCTTGCCACTTTAATTAAGTTTGACTGAAACTTGTAAACAAGCGCCAGTGCAAATTACTTTTAACCTTAATTAAACTATGTTCTGTATAATGAGAGGGTACATATGTTAGATTAGATTTATTAATTACAACAGTAAATCTCATAAGTTATGGCACTTGAAACACATTCCCAGTCTTCTATTCTGCTAAATGATATGCATGGGAAAATAATTGGAGAAGCTGAGACATGTAAATACATTTGAAATAAATAAATGCAGTACATTAAGGACATTTCAGGACACATGGAATACATGTACTCTGAAGATTTTACCAAAAATTAAATATTTTGTTTGTTACTTTTCCTTTTTGATGCAAAGTATTTCAGTTGTACATGTTCAATAAATGTAGAAAGAGTTGTCTACTAAAACTTATTCATTTTACATTAAATACAATAAATAGATACATTCATTTTTTGCAAATTGTGGCATTCCATTTTCCTGATAGAGTAGGTACCTATTTACTAGCTAAATCAGATTTTCATGTTTTTTGTCCACTCCACCCCAGGAAAAAATGGTTTCTTATTTATGAAAATCCAACCTTCAATCAGTTTTGGAATTTTTTCATAGATTTATCCCGAAATCAAACGGACAAATATGAACACAAAAAAGAGTCAAAATACTTGTTTAGTATTTTGGGGTTTAATAAAAAATCAACATTTTTTTATTTTGTGGGTCACCAAAAATTTAAGTGAGTTGTCTACTGGAGCCTGGGCCTACATTTAGGATGTAAAAATATTTAAAGAAAATAAATGAAAATTAAAGAACCTTAGTGAGCGCGCTCACATACCCCACGTCCCCACATTGTCACTGGAGAAATAAAATAACTGTAAGAAAAAAAAATTGAATCATAATTTCCTGTCAATATGCACATCTACGTAGTATGTCCTTATTATCTACAAAGTTTCATGAAATTTTGTTGTGTGGTTTCAGAGGAGTTGAGATGACAAACTGTTGCAGTAGTACATAAAAGTAAATAAGTTCAAAGGGGCGTAACTCCTAGAAAAAAAATTGAATCATAATTTCCTGTCGATATGCACATCTACCTAGTATGTCCTTATTATCTACAAAGTTTCATGAAATTCTGTTGTGTGGTTTCAGAGGAGATGCGATGACAAACTGTTGCAGAGGTATATTGAAGCAAATAAGTTCAAAGGGGCGTAACTCCTAGAAAAAAAATTGAATCGTAATTTCCTGTCAATATGCACATCTACGTAGTATGTCCTTATTATCTACAAAGTTTCATGAAATTTTGTTGTGTGGTTTCAGAGGAGTTGAGATGACAAACTGTTGCAGTAGTACATAAAAGTAAATAAGTTCAAAGGGGCGTAACTCCTAGAAAAAAAATTGAATCATAATTTCCTGTCGATATGCACATCTACCTAGTATGTCCTTATTATCTACAAAGTTTCATGAAATTCTGTTGTGTGGTTTCAGAGGAGATGCGATGACAAACTGTTGCAGAGGTAAATTGAAGCAAATAAGTTCAAAGGGGCGTAACTCCTAGAAAAAAAATTGAATTGTAATTTCCTGTCGATATGCACATCTACGTAGTATGTCCTTATTATCTGAAAAGGTTTCATGAAATTCTGTTGTGTGGTTTGAGAGGAGTTGCGATAACAAAAGGTTGCAGTAGTATATTGGGCAAATAAGTTCAAAGGGGCGTAACTCCTGGAAAAAAAATTGAATGGTAATTTCCTGTCGATATGCACATCTACATAGTATGTCCTTATTATCTACAAAGTTTCATGAAATTTTGTTGTGTGGTTTCAGAGGAGTTGAGATGACAAACTGTTGCAGTACATTAAAGTAAATAAGTTCAAAGGGGAGTAACTCCTAGAAAAAAAATTGAATCGTAATTTCCTGTCGATATGCACAACTACATAGTATGTCCTTATTATCTAAAAAGGTTTCGTGAAATTCTGTTGTGTGGTTTGAGAGAAGTTGCGATGACAAGAAACAGGACTGACGGACTGACAGACGGACGGACGGGTCAAAAACATTATACCCTCCGCAACTCGTTGCGTGGGGTATAATAAAAGACATTAAGCATAACAAACAGTAGTTGTGTAAATATGATTATAACAAAACAGTCAATGAAACAGAACAAACTTTAAAAGCACTCTGAATCTAATGATAGAAAAGATTGCACAACCAACACACACAAACTGTTTAGATTAATTAAGATGGTTGTCTGTTTCACACTGACTATCATTACTGAGGATTCATGTACTATTATTTACATGATCTTTGTTGTTTTGTATAAGTATTAAGCCACATGATTCATAAACCTAAGGTTTTATCAGTTCAAAAGCAAAGTTCCTTTGCGGGGAGACACTGAATCCAGTTTTGAAGATCTATTGGTATGCTATTATCTAAAACCAAAATAAAGTCAACCCTACTACACCACACAAAACTATACAAAAATAAAGAGCTGTGCCATGAGCGCATGATACACTCGTCACTTTTTCAACAATTAAAGATCCATTACTCCTCAATGTTATATCAGAAATTTGTAAAAAACTAAAGGGAGTGTATTTGAATAGATATAAATCAGTCACGAAAGTTTCATGAAAACTGCTCAAAAAATCAAATGGGAGCTTATGTCAATAGATATAAACAATTCACCAAAGTATAATGAAAATAAGTTAAAGCGTTTATGAGTTATTGCATGACATGTTGATGTCGGACAGACAGACAGACGGACAGACACACAACGGCAAACCATAATAGTAAACAGGCGTATAAAAAAACCATTGCATATTGAGATGGATCCTACTCATCTTAAGCTAAAGGTTGGTTGTTTTTTACACCTGTATAAATAAATTTAGCTTCTTCAGTGTAATTGACTAGAAAAAAAGCGTTTGTTGAAGTTCCCTTGGTGACTTTCAATGTATATTCAAGTTTATTTGTGTTGTTGAGTTGCTGTCTCATTGACCTTTACGCCACATCTCTATCTTATTCTTTTTCACAGTACAAGTATACCTGTATGCCTCAGCTGTTTCAAGATTTTATCTAAAGATGACACAGACAATTTTTCTAAATTTGATTACAAATCTTTTCCAAAGCTTAAAAAAGACAAACATTAATTACATCAAAAATTTCTTTTCATGAAAATTGTTCCACTTTATTTAGACTAAATATCATGTTTGTCCTTCCTCAAAACAGAATCTTTTGTTCACATGTTTAAAAAGACTGCAATTTGATTAAGTTTAAATTGTAGTGCTCTTAATGAGATCGACAGGATTAATTTCCTCAAATATAAATCATATTTGACGACAAAATAAAGGAAATTCATTAAGATTACTGCCTTGCATTTAAACATATTATAACCATTCTAGATGTATTCGGAACAAAAGCAACTGTCATCTGTATTCACATTGGGCGATTTGATCTCATAGATTTTTTATTGAAAACAATGGCCAAGGAAATTATTCCCTGTAAATGCTGGTCCTTTAATTATGTACTTCTTCTCAAGAAAAAGCCAAATTATCAATGTTTCTTAATTAGATTAGATCGGGGAATCCAATTTTCTACGTCTGAATGTCACTAATTGAAAATGATATAATCAGTTTTTATTGTAATTACATGAATATGTATCATGCATCAGAGTAAATGTAAAGAAATTCGGAGGTATAACTGATCCAATGTTTTGTTTTCATCATAAAGCCCTGGCGACAGAGACAGACATCGTAATTACAAACACAACCCTCAGGTCAAGGAAAATTTAAATTATAATTATTCACAATGCTGTAGATTAGAGATAAGAATATATATATAAAAATTTCACAAAATGATAATTTAAATAAAGGATGTATAATGTATAACAAATGTGTTTTTGAAAAGAAAGAAATCTGATTTATAATTAAAAGTAAAGACAGAAAATGAAATTTAAATAATGTGTTTTCTATAGGCAGTCAGTGAAGCGATGATTAGAAAGAAACCTCTTCTCAAGATAATCATTAGCTTAGAAATCTTAATATTTATTGTGGTTATTTGTAGGTCTTTTTCCTCTGATGCCCAATCTGTCACAATTATATATAGTCTGTATGTTTTATAACTACAAACATTAATTAGTTCTAGTGTCCAAAGAACATTCTGCCATTTTAGATGGTAGTTATGATTTCATCCTTACTAATTTCAAATCAAATTGATGTAAAACTCACAAGATATGATATAAATGAACATGACAAATAAACGTAAGTCATAATATAATTGACTGTCTGGTAGAGAAGAAAAAACTATACCAATCCAATTATAAACATCACACAAATGTAATCTCCATTGATTTTTTACAATTTTCAAAATCATTGAGCACTGTTGTAGCTCATCAGTGAATTATTACAAGCAATTTGAGTTACTTCCCTTTCAACATATGCTCTATAGAAACAGGAAGATCTGTAGCCTTATTTGAACTTTTTAATTAAAAATGATTTAAAATACAAATTTATCTTACCATTTAAAACTTTTTTCTTAGAAAACAATTCCTGCCTGACATGATTTTTAAATGGGACATTAACGTCGTGTTCATGCTTAATTTGCATTTTTCATAAAATAAGAAGACCATTGAAGAGTAAAATGCTGTAATAAAAAAGATTAATAAGAAATTTCCATATTTTTACATCTCTGTGTGGTAATGAGATGAGATGATTGGGTTCACAAAGGGGAATACAGGAAGAAAAAAACTACATTTCTTCTTTCATTCTGTGTTTTTTCACATCTAAGAAGTCAAAGGACATCCTTTCTTCATACAGCACTATCCTTAAACAGATGATATCATATTTAGCAATATCCTGCTATTTATTTAAAATATAAAACATACAAATTATGAAACCCTGTCACTACCTCCTGAAATCTTTCAGCAATATTTATCCAATTTCCTTTGAATCAATTAGCAAAAATCATTCAGATAGAAGAAAATAAAAATCTATTCATGTTGCTGTAACGTCATCAAGTAAGAATGTTATACTAAAAATATTAGTATATGAAAAAAATTACTGGTCACCCTGGTAATTCAAATATATTAATGCTAGGAAAAGTCATGCCTGATGGGAAATTTGTTTAATCAAAACTTTCAAAATGGCAGTGACAGTTGAAAAGCCTGCAGTCGAGAGATCACCTTCAGACATATTAATTAAACGTGTAATGGAATCAGACCTAATCCCTTTTCCCTTAGTTAATTCATTAGACTCGTCACACATTATTTTTACTGCCAATAGCAACAACCATGTAAAAATAGATTCGTCAAATGGAAAAAGAAAAAAAAAGTGACAAAAATTAATTTAGGGAAATGACAAATTACAAAAGAACTGTTTTAGAAAATTATGCGCTAAGAACAAAAGTTGCCATATATTTTCTATTAGTCAATTATTATCCTGATGAGAAACTGATAATTACACACCATACAGCTGCACTAATTATTTCCTACACAACAGGGGCTAAAATTGAGGCTCAAAACAGGATTACACTTTAAGTACATTTGAAAGAAGCACTTATAAGGTCATATATCGTTAAAAGATTCAAGTCCATGTCAATTCAGTTCAATACACGAATGGTATGCATTAAATTTTCGACAGAGCAATATCATTTGTAATACAACTGAAAACTGTTTCAGGATACAGATTGATTTTGCACTTTAGGAAAGCAACTGAACTCTATTTGGCAATCAAGCAACTAACTTAAAACTAGTAAAGAAACTTTTGCAATCTTACATTTTGGGAGAAATCAAATCAAGGATTTTTTTACATTACTCTTGACTGTGAAATCTATATCTATAGTGTGTCATGAATATGTCTTCCTGTGGACTGTTGTTCTGTGACCTAGCATCATATGGCTCAGCTTCTTGGTCTAGTACAAAGGAAATGTCCTATTCCTTTTCTTATCAATATGCTCTCATTATACAGAATATACATGTACTATTTGACACTGGACTTAAACATCAAGCTGAATATTGTTGAGCACAGATTCAGAGTTGGTGTACCTTGCTTATAACCCTTAAAATTTTTTTTGCCTCACTTTGCTCAGTGACATTTTTGACTTTGGATTTTGATTAACACTTGAATAAACTCCTGAGGATACTAATAAAAAGGAATCTAATGAACCAATGATTAACATGTGAATAATATAGAAGATGAGGCAAAAAAAAAAATTGAGTTGTGTTTCCTGCCTCCCTACTTACCCCATCACATTTTATTGACATTTTTGGTTAAGCACTGTCAAAGTCAAGAAAATTCCCATTTATAGTCTATGTAAAATATTATTTAAAATAAAAATAATTTTTCTTAACAACTCCTATCCTAATTTTTTTCTTTTTTATGCCAGGACTCCAGGAGACAGGAAACAAGTGAATATCTATTTTTTTTTACTTAGACAGTATTGACAAGACAGAAATTGAACAACACAATAATCTTCCTCCCCCTTAATTTTTTTTTCAAAAATCTATAAAGGCAATCAATATTTGTACAAACTTTATCATTCATTGTATTAAATTTATTTTTGTGAAATGGCAGCTATAAGAAAGTAACTGTCACTTTGGCCTAAAATTTGATTTTCTTATTTTGAGGTACTACACATGCTAAAAATACCATGTTCAATTAAAATGTAATGATAAGCACTATATTTGATTGTGTCAATAATTAAAAAAAAATTCCAAAAGTATGTTTTGAAAATTGAATGTCAAAGATTTCAGCCTGTGCATTGTTTGAGATCAGTTGAAAATATTCGATGAACTTTTAAGATTCCTTGAATTAAGTCAGTTATTGAAAGTACAGCCTCATTTTAACACTTTATTGGAATCTACCCCACCAGCAGCACTGAAGGTAAACAAATTTATATGGCTACTGATGACTGACGAATCACTTTGAAGGCAGTTTGTAATACAGGTGTACTCTGTCAATGGGGTAAGTCTACTCTATAATTAAAGTCAAAACCTCAAAATTGTGATCAATTTGAATTTGAATGATTTACACCTGCAGACGATCCTAAACATCTCAGCCATGTTCTATTGATCTCACAGAAAAATTCTATT